GGCGTGGAGGGTGTCAGCCTCTGCCCCCTGCAAAGCTACGGCGCTGGGGAAGGGACACTTCAGGCAACTGGTTTGGAAAGACATCCGCTAGCAAGAGCTGGCAACCGGTGACAGCAGGAAGCCCGGGATTCGACTTAGAGCCTTATGGGTGCTGGAGGTGGTGGGGGTGCCGGTGCCACCAGATCGTGGAGAGTGGGGGAACCATCTGACAGAAGTGGGTCGGGAATGCCGCCTGGATGGAGCCAGTTCCTTTCCGGCAAAGGTCAGTCCTCCCACCCTCGCCTGACCTCAGATCCAGAGTCACTGGGTGGAGCCAGGTCACTCCGGAGAGACAGTCCCCTGAGCCAGGAGGGAACCCCTTACACCCCCCCAGGAAAGGAGTTGAAAGTAGGTCAGCTGTTCCGTCTTCCGAGCGTCTTCCGGCCCTGTTCAGAGGCTGTTTCCCACTTTGGGTCTGCGGCACACTCTCCGCAGGGCTAGTCGGGTTGGAGGTTGAAGAGCTTCACCTCCCAGAGGTGGCCCGTCTGTGGTGTGAGGTAAAGAGTGGTTTTCTCACGTGGGTGGTCATTTTCCCCAGCTCCACTGACTGGCTGTCCCTCCTTTCTCTGCCTTGGACACACAGGACAGAACTGCAAAGGATGTCAGTCCGGGTGGCCCTGCCAACAGTCGTCTGAGTGGGACTGTGGCATGAAAAGTCGGGGCCGTAGGCCCTGGCTTAGGCCTGTGGGGACTGGCGAGGGCGCGAGCTCACAGCCGAGGCGGGCTCGGTACCTCACCGCCCTGAGCCTCCCCTGCTCATCTGCACAGCGGGGATTTAAAAGCTGCCCAGGTGTAGGGTTTAGGTGAGGAGGGAGTGACGCTGGGCCTGCAAAGCATTCTGCGGTGCCTGGGACACTCAACCGCGTTAGCGCCATTAGCTCTGTACGGTGCTCTCTGTGCGAATGCTCCAGCATGGCTGGCATCTCGCCGCTGGCCCTGGGCGGCGCGGAGGGCACGGCGGGGCTCCTGGAGGCCTGCCCCTAAGGCAGGGCCGGGCTGCGGCCGGCCTCGCTCACGCCACGGCGCCGGCCCGGCAGGTGCAGAGCTACATGGAACACTACTGCAACAACTCCACGGACCGCCGCATCCTGCTCATGTTCCTGGACATCTGCACGGAGCTCAGCAGGCTCTGCCAGAACTTCGAAGCCCTGCACTCGGGCACCCCGGTCACCAACAACTTCCTCGACAAGTGTAAAACCTTTGTGAGCCAGAGCAACGACTTGAGCAGCCTGAGAGCAAAGTAAGTCACTCTGGCCCTATTCCTGAGGCCTCGGCCTATGCGTGTGGGCAGGGGGGAAGAGGAGGGGCCTCTGCTGAGAGGGCCGGTGAGCCCGAACTGATGAAGCCGGTGGGAAATCCCAGGCCCTAATTCTGAACCCTGGGGATCCACTGCCCAAAGTCCCAAATTCTCAAGGAAGGTGCTGAGACATTAGGGCAGGAACAGTCACGGGGACGCAGCATATTCTGAAGCTATTAGAGGCGTCCACAGCCCTTCACCTGGGTTCTACAAATCTCCCTCACACCGGGGGCCCCGAACCGGGAGCCGGCTTGGGCGCACAGTGCTAAAACCTCCCAGGCGATTCTGCTGGGAGGTCAGGATCAAAACGCCCGCATGAGGTCTGGCGTGTGGCGAGTCGCTGGGGTGGGGGCTCACCCAGCCCCCTTGCTGCCCTGCAGGTATCCTCACGACGTGGTGAACCACCTGAGCTGTGACGAGGCCAGGAACCACTACGGGGGCGTGGTCAGCCTCATTCCCATTGTCCTGGACCTAATGAAAGAGTGGATCGCCCACTCGGAGAAGCTGCCCCGCAAAGCGCTGCAGCATGTGAGTGAGCCCCAGACACGCCAGGACGCCACCGCGGCGGCTGCTCTGCCTCCCCTGACCAAAGGCGCCCGGCCTTACTTAGGAAAACACCAGTGTGGGCAGCTCACGAAAGACAGCCCCAAGCCCCGGGGGGAAGGCAAAGGGTGTTCAAAACCTCCCTGGAGACCACCTGGTGGGAAACTGTAACCCAGAGCCCGTGGCCTGTCTGCCCGTCCGGACCCAGTGCCAGGCCCATGGGGACTGTCACTAAGCCCGGTTTCACTGGTGGATCCATTTTCACTGGCACCCATAGTCCCTGCCGCTCGTTAACCCCAAAGGAGCTGCCCCATCTGTTCCTGAGACCCTCGCGCCCTCCCTCGCTCTAACGTCTAACTTTCCCTCGCCTCTCAGGGCAGGCTCTGTGCCCATGGAGAGGAGCCCCACTTTCGGAGTGGTTGGTAGTGTCCCAGGGAGGATGGGAAAGAGCAAGGCTGACTGCGCGGCCGTCCTCTTGGAGCTCCCGCCCAGCGCGCCCTCGCCAGGCTGAGCGGGAGCCAGGAGGCCGCAGTGGGACCTGCTGGGAGGCGCGGCTCTTGGCGGGACGGGGCTGCCCTGGCTTCCAGGCTGCTGCGGGTCAGCATGCTGAGCGCCCTCAGTGGGACCAGGTCTCTGGACCAAAGCCCAAGGGAACGAGCCCTTCCTTCCTTCCTTCCTTCCGCCTTTACTTGGGAGAGGGAGACTGAGAGACGCTGGAGGGTCTCTCATCTGGGCTCCTGTGCAGGGCAGTTACCTGGTCTTCATGAGCGAGGCCCAGACGTGTGAAATGTGTCACCAGCTCCGAGCTTGCCAGGAGTCCTATCTGACTGTTGGCTTTTCCTTCACAGGGGGCGACTTAGCTTCTGTATTCTTGCTTCCTCGGGGGCTAACGTCAAGAATAAAAGTGTTCTACTACCTGTGTGCCTGGCGTGGTCTCCTGGGATTTATCCCTAAAGAAAGCCACATTTATCCTGAGACCCCAAGGACACTGGGCAGTGGCCTCACCAGTGAAACGGCTAGCACAGAGCAGCCACTAGACAGGAGCACACCTGCCAAAGACGCACAGAAGGCCGCGGCTACCCCTCCTGTGTTAGAGACCTACCCAGACAGGGACACCTGCATTCTCCAAACAAAACGAAAAGCTGCCACCTCTGAGTCTTTGTCTCAAAGGAACTGCTTCCACCCTTAAAACAGGCAGAGCAGACCCCTTTCCAGGGGGCAGCAGGTGGAGCTACACTGCAGGTGGAGCTCTTAGTCCCTGGTACTGTCCCAAGATGTCCCAAGCAAGAGATAGTAAGGCCAGGACCACTCTAACCATTTTTTAGAGGCAGTTTCCACCTCTGTCCCCACCCCCATGGCACAGGGCCCGCTTCCTCCCGCATTCCCAGGCACGGGAAAGTGCTGCATGCCAGCTCTTGATAGGTTCAGTGTCCCTGGGCTCCACCAAAGGGCTGCATTAAGCCCACTGTGCCAGCCAACCGTTAGGGACACAAGTGGGCCCCAGGCTGGACACAGTGCAGCCCAGTAAGCAACCTGTGAGTTTTCTCATAGCCGTGACTCAAGTCAACTCCCACAGACACACCAGAAGGCCACTCTTTGGGGAAAGGGCATGAATTGGAGGCAGGTAATTTTGAGGATTTGTGGCTGTTTGCCAGAACAAAAATGATCTCACAGAATAAAGCCAGGTTCTGACACTTGTCGGCACTCTCCTCTGCACCTGGAGGTAACCAGCCTCCCCAGACCCTGACTTTTTCCCATCTCTGGATGAGTCCCTCAGGGGCAACAGGAGCCACTCGCAGCAGCACAGCATAGTGCAAAACGATAAATTTTTATTTGTTCACAGTTAAACACAAGCAACTGCCTTGACGTTTTAGAACATTCTAAGGACAGCAAACCCTTTGGATTCCAGTCCCCACTCACTGAGATTGTACCATTTCCTCCTGCCGGTCACGCTGATGGCATCTGATGCGGATTGTGTGACATGCTTTTTTAATCGAGGCGGGAAGGTTTAAACCTTTTGACGAGATGACTTTTTAAAATTTAACTAAAAGCAGTTTAAAAAATCTGTTTTTCAGTGATGGGACCCCTCCCCTGCAGGCTGGCTGCACACGCTTGATCCATGATTGAGTTATAAAACCAGGTCTATGTCAGCAAAATCTGTTCCTCCATAAGGTGTCTGTGGTCCGTGGGCGCCTTCTGAAAAGTGATCACTGATTCTTCCTAGTGCAAAATGCCTGGCTGCCTTTGATAAGCCAGTGTCAGCTGCACAGAGCAGTACCCTACCCTCCTGTCCAAACACTGCGCTGAGGTGGGAGGGGAGGGGGTCTCAAATTCTTGGGTCTCCTCTAAAAGACTTATTCCAATGGGTCAACCAGCTTACTAAGCCCAGAGGATGGACAATTTTGTGGGAAGGGGAGGCAAGGAGAGGGAAACGGAAACGAGGGCGGGGGGAGCTCCTGTCTTCAATAACTCGTTTCAAGGCTGAAAGCAGTCGTGGGCGCAGGTGCTCAACTGTCCCAGGCAAGTGTCCCATGTAGCTCCCGCCACTCTCAGGAGAGCATGTAAGGACCGAGGGATGGTGTGGAAAAGACTGAAACAGCTCTCCCTGGGCACATCAGAGTCATGGCCAGAGACACGAGCCACCTGGGGACAAGGGTCACAGCAGCAGCCTGGGGCCAGGCCCCGACCTCAGACCTCAACTGGTTTTTTCACCTCTGGAGAAAAGCTTAGTCGAGTGCAATCAAATCCTTAGGGGGGCGGGAGCATGTGTCATAGAGCTCTGGATGTAAACAGACACACGAACATCTTTAGACTGGGTGTACTGTCCAATACGCACTGTTGGTCAGTTTTAAAGCATGTACCTAGGGTAAAAATGCGGCAAAGGAAGACATGCTGATCTGGGCCATCCCACAAGACAGCTGTCCCCATGGGGACACACTCCTGGGCGGGACTGGGCTGCTGCAGGGACCACTCTCGGTCCCCACACAAGGTGGCGGCGTCAGCTTGGGGCTGAGCCCTCACTCTACCCAAACCCTCCGTAAACCTGTCCACACTTCCCACACCTCCTAGTGTGCGCACTTAGGAAACTGGGTATCTAAGCAGTACTTTCATCTGTTCTTCGGTATCTCCTCCCGGCTTCATTGGTCTGTTCTATCTAGTATTTAGTCAGAGCACGTTCCTTAGTTTCTACACAGAAACACCCACAGCCCTGCGGCCCAGCTCACAGGTCCTCTCAACACCACGAGCACATCATTCGTCATCCTCTACGCAGCTGCTAGTTTAATCTTTCTCAACAAGAACACCCACTGGAGGCTCCACGTGCTATTGCAAATGGGGACTGCGGGTTTGGAGCTGCTTCCGGCTGTCCTGATCTGCCCTGTGCTGTGTGGCCTCTCTGGCCAAGGCGGCACACGGGCTAATTTTTCCAAAGGCCAGGGGCGTCTGGGACCTGATCCTGGGCTTTAACAGCTTACCTTCCAGGAAGAGTTTGGACTATTTCCCCGAGGACAGTACGTATATTCTGGTTCACAAAGCAGCATATCTGTCGTTTCTCTCCACTCAGAGCCTAACAACTGTCAGCAGCTTATTCCCAAAGGTTCAGCAGTTTTCTTTCCTGAAAAACTCTGAACAGCCTGGGGAGGCCACGTCTACCACCCACCTTATAGAGCTGGTCACCGTCTCCCAGGAGAGCTCTGAAACCTCTCAACCCAAGAAATGGCCTTTCTCTCCCACCTTTGGACTTCAGTCCGTTTTCCTACTCATGACCAGTATTTCTCCCAACCCCACAGTAACGGGTTTTTTACGTGTTTCGGCAGAACCTTGTCAAAGCTTTTTAAATCCCTAAATTCGTGTCTGACACAGATCGGAGCGCTACCTGTAGCGGATTCAGGGACGCACCTCCCTGTGGAGACCATGCTGCGGTCTCCTCTCCCGCCCACCCAGTGATACTGTAGTGCTCCTCTTATAAATCCCCTGCTGCCCCAGCAGCGGCCTCTTATCTTCTCGGGGTCTGTGCTGACCCTGGTCAGTGTCAAGGGGGACCAGGACACTGCCACAGCACTGGGGCAGGCAACAAGCTCGGTGGCTGGATAGAGGCCCCCAGCCCAGCCCAGCCCAGCCCAGCCCAGCCCATGTGAGCACCACAAGCGCCCGTCAGCCCAGGATCTGCCAGGGACACTGACTGTCCTGTGCCTCTGCCTCCCTGCCCCTGGGCCTGGCCGATTCTCAGGACTGCCTCTGGGTCAGCCTCCCACCCTGAAGAATGCTAGCTCGCTGCAGCAGCCTTGGCTGGCCTGCTGACTCCTGGCAGGTTTATCCGTTCCAAACCAAACAAAACTGAGGACTGAGGCCTTTGCAACACAAAAGCCTAAATTATTAGGCTGGGCCACTTCCACATGACTCCAGGCCTGATCCCAGCGTTGGCTGAATAAAACCCATGGTCACCTGGAACCCAGAGGGGACTGAGCGCAGCTCTGCAGGCTCAGCCATAGCTGTGAAGCTGAGCAGACAGCACCCAGGCTGCAGGAGCTTGCCAGGGCCCTGGCACAGAGACTGCCTTGGAGCCTCAGCCCAGTTCATCACGCTGCCTCCTCCTCCTGTATTTTTACAATCTGCCCATTTTAAAAACTGTTTTCCTTTCTTCCCATGGGCCTCCTTGTCTCTGCCAGTCAGCCAGGGGAAACACTGTGACTAAGGCGCCTGAAGTCTCGATCTCCTGGACGGGAGCAGGGTTAACATTCAGAACTGTCTCGACAGCGACCCTGTAACACTTTCTCCTCTCTGAATCTGTTTGCTTTCCTTTTCTAAATCTGAACTAGGCAACCAGAACGTATTTGACCTTTAGCTTTCCTCTGGACACAAAGGATTAAATGGGTGGTGTGACACTCCGTGTGGGACACCCCGTGGGAGGGTGTCGCCGTGCCTGCTGACAGCCTTCGCAGGCTGGGGTGGGTCAGTCACGCCCGCACACCGTCCCAGGGAGGCCTCCTGCCCACACAGCTGTGCTGGCGCAGTCTCTCAGCCGGCCCGTGCTGAGGGATGCCAGGACACGCTCTAAGGTTTCGTACCATCACTGGTCTTTTTCCTCCTTGAGGCTGAACCTTCTGTACTGTAACCCTAAGAACAGAAAGAGAAACTGGGTTCGCCAGCTCTTTCCCAGCCTCTCCTCGCCTCAGCCGGAACACCAGGCAAGAATTCTTAGGCTTCTAGCGTTTATTTCAGGAGCATCTGTGGAGTTTGGTTCTCTGCCACCACCAGTGTTGCAGCTGGTGTCACCTTTCCTGAGCACACATGTGCGACACCCATGGGTCCCCAGCAGCCAGCCTCTGACAGAACTCACCAGGACCCTGATAGGAGATGCTCTGCCATCACCAACATGTGGGAGGGCAGCAGGGCCCTCAAAGTCAGAATTGGTGTAAAAAGCTGTTACCTTTTTGGTGGCCTAGAACCTACTTTAGTGAGGCAACTCTGAAGCCTGAGAAACAATGGTCACTAAGCTTTGAAAAAACTCTGCGGCCCGTCAGAGTCGTCCTGCTGGAACACCACGAAGCTGACACAGAGGCACCCGGGACACACAGGGAACACGCAGACAGCTACCTCAGGCTCGGCCAGCACAGCCCTGCCCGGAGGGCAGCTCCTTGCCCACACGTGTTTCTCGGGTAATTGCCCACATCACAGCCCTTCCGTTCTGCAGACAGCAGGTTTACTCCACACACCAGCCTGTGGTCAGACCAGTACCAGCTTTCGAGCAAACACCAAATAAATAAGAGGTAGTGGGGAGGGGACAGAGCATTCACAAAAGGGACTATGTCTCCACAGTGCCAGCTCCAGACTTTTCCAACAACAGGCCTCTGTTCACGAGAACTTCTTAGGAAGCTTATCAGAGCCGCCAGAAGAATGTAAGGGTGACCGACCCATCATTTTCTAACCCACTGCTTTAGATGCTGAACCTCAGAACCAAAAGCAGCGAAAAAGTCTCCTGTAAAAGTATTCATGAGATGTCAGCTTAGCATGCTACCTCCTCTGAGAGGGCCAACAGATTACTTGCGTGCCACCTGTCACCTGGCTAACGGGAGCCAGCCCAGCTATCTGAACTTTAGGGAGCAGAGAGTGGTGTGTTAGACTCAGAGAAATTTGGCCTCATATTGCACTGGTTCAAAGGACACAACCTTGGAGGGGCAGGGGAAGAAAATAAAGCTACTGAGGAATGCAAACTGGCCCTCGGTTAGTACACACTGCTAAGTCAATGGCGGGGGGGAGGAGGCATTTCAATGCCAGATCCAAAAACCGTTCCACATTCAGGAAGTTGTCAAAAGGACCTCCTTCCATCCCACTTCTGCCGCGTGAGCCAGCCACTCAAACCCTGGGAATAGGAAAGCTTGGAAACGGCACCACACCTCCTGGTCTATGCCAGCAGCACGCAAGTTAACACTGATTGGCCACCACCCTTAGCTGTGTTCCTGATGAGTCTCGTTGTAGTCCATGATACGCAGCTGTCCAACACTGTCCAGGTTCGGGGGAGATGGGTGTGGGCCGTCGGGGCTCAGGGGAGTCTTGGCTTCCACGCCCGCGTCTTTGCCCAGTTCTGTCTTTAGAGTCTCAGAAAGGCTGCTGATGGTCACGCCATCCTCATCACACTGGCTCTCACTCTTATTACGAAATAACTCTCGAGCCTTCATGCCCAGGAAGCTTTTTGAACTAGGAAGTGAGCCAACCGTCGTGGGGATGCTGGTGGAGGGCTCGCCCACGGTAGTTTCCCACCGACTGCTGAACGGGCCTGCCCTCTGGTTCGGGGGCTTCTCAGGGGTGGAGAGCTGGCTGCTGCTGCTGCTGCTGCTGCCCCCGCCGCCTCTGCTTCCACCCCCACCTCGGGTGCTGCCCGGTCTGGGGGGCTTGGTCTCACCGTTGTGGCCAGATGCCTCCTCACTGTGCCCTGCCACAGAATCCGAGCAGCTGTCATTATAACAGTCAAGCCTGCAACAAACCCAGGAGGAGAAAAGCAGGTGGTGACTGTGGTGTCCATGTCTGGGAGGGAGGGTGCGCACACTGACCCTGACCCCTGCCAGCCCACGATGGGGGTGCGCACACTGACCCTGACCCCTGCCAGCCCATGATGGGGGTGCGCACACTGACCCTGACCTCTGCGAGCCCATGATGGGGGTGCGCACACTGACCCTGACCCCTGCCAGCCCATGATGGGGGTGCGCACACTGACCCTGACCTCTGCGAGCCCGCTCCACATTTACAACAGAGGACTCAAGCATGAGATCTCCTCAGGGGACAACTAGGGACATGAGATGCAATCTTAAATATGGACTCTTCCCGTGACCATAGCAAGGGATTTGGGGCCCAGGAAAGGGAACATGGGGAGATCACTGGGCGTCCTGGGGAAAGAGGTGTCTGGGGCTCTCTGAAACCGACAGAGCCCGCCTGCTGCAATCGCTTCTAACTTGTATCACGCAGTCCTCATTCCGTCAGTGGCACCAATGGCAAGGCCATTGACGCCCACCCTTTGCTCCTACCTTTCTTCTGCCGCTTCCGCTGCTTCTGTTTTCTCATCTTCAAGGTTTTTCAGGAGGCCATCTTTCTCCAGCCTGCCATATAAGTCTAAGATCTCCAACTCAAACACCTGGGTGATGCGTTTCTGAGCCTCATACCTGCTCTCTGCGGCCTGCAGCTGTCCTCTGAAAAGACAGGCCAGCAGCATGTGGGAAACCCCACATCACACACACACCACCCAAGAACCTCTTCCATGAAAGTTACCTTGCTTGGAGTTTGACATCCTCTAAATATTTCTTCTGTTCCAAAAGAAGGTGGTCTTTCTTGGCCAGTTGAGATTCCAGTTCCAAAATCCGTTTCTGAGAGGTGTCAAGCCTCTGATTCTGCTGGAGCACATGGCTTCTGTGTTTTTCGAGTTCTTTCCGATATGCAGCTTTCATCATTTCCACTTCCTAAAAGAGGGGCTGGAGTCAGTGGCTTCTGGCAATGACCATGCCACGTCCACCTGGAGAAACCAAGGTAGCGAGCACTAAGAAGGGACTGCAGCGTAGTGCGAGCAGGAACATACACTGGTACAAAGCTCCAGAAAGTGAGCTGGCAGGAAGCGCTAACCTAGGGATCCTTCCTTGAAATCTATCCCAAAGGAAATAATTTCAAATATGAATAGACATTCTGACACAAAAAGAATCATCACAGCATATTTAGAAGAGCGAAAAACTAGAAACTATTAGGTCTACTGTCAGGGAAATAGTTAAGTAAATTAAAGTATGTCTTATATTTGTAAGCTTTTTAAAATGATATATATTAGTAAGAGATAAAAAGCAGACTATATATATAAACCATGTGAACAGTGTGATTGACTATGTAAACATATTCACAAAACACCAACGGGAGAGACGCTGACCTGCGGGTGTCCTTTCGGCACAGGGAAGGAGGGCCCTTTGTTTCCCTGCCTATTCTCCCTCTGTTCAGACCAGCTGAGAGAACACAACAGGCTGAGCAGGTCTCTTGCAAAGCAACACCTGCAGCAGAGGTGCCCTGACAGGGGTGTCACTCATGCCAGGCAATAACTGGCCAGCCACGGTGGGACCAGTTGAAACCCCAGAGGTGGCGGACACTAATGCTCAGGAAGGACGCTGGAGGGTCCTTTCCCAACAAGCACATGCTACATATGCTGTGTTTACTGTGGTGAAATATGCACAACAAAATTTACCAGGTTTGTTTTTTTAAAAAGATAATAAATAAGAGGCAGGTCGAGGAGCTCCCTCAAAGGCATCCCAGGCTCAAGATGGCCAGTACGACCAGCGCTTCCTCAGCAGGGGCTGCAATTGTCTGGAGCTCAGAACTGGGAGCCAGATAACATGGCTGTTCCAGCTGTGCCTCTCAGCCCAGACGTTGGCACCGGTCAGTGAAGAGATCAGACTTTGTCATAAATGATGGCAGTGATTTATGGACAAACAGACAAAGCACTGAACCAGGCACGTCCATGTGCTTTCACACACCCTCACACCCACTCTTACAACCACCACATTAGGCACTGCGCCCCTCACCCACTGGCCATTCTGTGCCTGACTGAACAAGGGGAAGCCCAGCTCTTGGTCCGGGGCAAACCCTGATGGGCACAAGGCAATGACTGTCTACAGATGGGCACACGACACCATCCTAGCCGATAGCAAGGGTGGGAAGTCTGGTAGACAGTTCCTGGGGAAGGTTTCCTTGCAGAGAGACCTGCAGGAAGTAATGCTCTCCCTTCCACAGGACATCACGGCATCCACCTGTGGCAGCGGTAACTGGCACACACCTTGCAACCATGAGTACAGCTAACCCAAGGCAAGGCTGACAGGATAGGCCACAAAGTGAGAGGAGTGGAAAGAGCCAGACTCCCTGATGCTGTCTCTATACTTCTGATTTGACCAACCGGGAACTGTGAGAAACATCAATCAACTACCTCACGTACCAGCCTTGACCGGGGATTGAACCCGCAACCTCGGTATGTGCCCCGACCGGGAATCGAACTCATGACCCTTTGGTGCATAGGATGATGCTCTAACCAACTGAGCCACATTGGTTAGGGCCAGTTTAGTGTTTGTTGCTGCTGCTTACAAATGAAGGCATCGTGCTACCAGGCGTATGAACTGTGGAAAAGCCCAGAGAGGACGGGGGCACGCTGGAGGCTCTGGGGTGTATGAACTGTGGAACAGCCCAGAGAGGACGGGGGCACGCTGGAGGCTCTGGGGTGGACTGTGGAACAGCCCAGAGAGGACGGGGGCACGCTGGAGGCTCTGGGGTGGACTGTGGAACAGCCCAGAGAGGACGGGGGCACGCTGGAGGCTCTGGGGTGGACTGTGGAACAGCCCAGAGAGGACGGGGGCACGCTGGAGGCTCTGGGGTGGACTGTGGAACAGCCCAGAGAGGACGGGGGCACGCTGGAGGCTCTGGGGTGGACTGTGGAACAGCCCAGAGAGGACGGGGGCACGCTGGAGGCTCTGGGGTGGACTGTGGAACAGCCCAGAGAGGACGGGGGCACGCTGGAGGCTCTGGGGTGGACTGTGGAACAGCCCAGAGAGGACGGGGGCACGCTGGAGGCTCTGGGGTGGACTGTGGAACAGCCCAGAGAGGACGGGGGCACGCTGGAGGCTCTGGGGTGGACTGTGGAACAGCCCAGAGAGGACGGGGGCACGCTGGAGGCTCTGGTGCACAAGTGTTCAGGCCACAGGCAGCACCACAGAAGCAGATCACCTGTGCTCCTCTCAGGAGACATCAGGTCTGCATTTAAGCAAACTTTTCAGAGGTTCTCTTGTCCCACAGGTGTGCTTCCCACTTTCTTTTTCCAGAGCCATTATACTTCCAAAGTAAGTGATGGCTGGTTCCAGAGGAAGTTCTGCATGTAACTTCCTTCTGAAGGGATCTGAGCTGAGCGCAGAGGGCTGAGGAGTGCTCCACTATGAAAACTACGCCTCTCTGGTTCTAAGACACTGTACTAAGCGCAAGCACAGCACGCCTACCAAGGAAGCTGTGTGTGACGGAGAAGTCAGTGACAGGAAACATCTGAGCATGTGCTATTAAAATCCATTCCTCACTCAGTCCCTAACATCACCCGAGGCTATTTATAAAGTGACATGAAACTTCTGTTTCAACACCACTGTGAGGCCCTAATTAACGTAAGATTGTCCCAATGCTGGCCTCATTGCCAGCATTGAACCACCACCTGCCGAAACTAAATTCAACATGAAAAGGAAGAAAAATATGAGTACCAGCACACAGCCAGTCCTGAGAGGCACAGAACAGGCCTGGCTGCATCCCCTCCC